CACCCAGAATGAAACACCAAAGCGCCAGGATTGGGCCCTATCCGCTGCCCGGTTGTAAAGTGAGGTGACAGCTGTCCTGGCAGCTCCGTGGCACTGGACATTTCTCACCTGGCCCCCTGCAGCACCGAGGGCACGTGCCCTGAATCCCACATGTGTGAGCGTATGTGCCATGTGCACACCTACTGGGGACCTGGGGCCAGGGATGCCTGGCACACGGAGAAGCCGCCCTGGCATCACGTTTAAATGTAACCCGGGCCACGTGGAAGGCAGAAACACCTTCCTAGACTCTCTCCCACGCCTCCACCTCCTTCAACCCGTTTCTGACTGTAAGCAGCCCTAAGTCACTCTCGTCTCCACGGACATCCAGCAGGACCCAGGCAGTTATGTCTGATGCTCAGTTATGCTCAATGGGGTGCACATGGGTCAGGACCTGGAGCACTTTGCAGGGGTGGGTGCCCTGGCCTCCTGCCCCACCTCGGGGCCCACCCTGGAGCAGACTCCACAGCCACTGAGAGCAGCTGGGTCCCCGAGTGTCCCTCTTCCTTTACCCACCGCCGGGGGCGCCTTCACAGACAAAGTGTGTGCAGTAGTGGGGAGGGCGAGACTCTGCACCTGCCCCCTGCCTCCCACCAACACCCAGGGACCCTGGGAGGGGAGCTTTGCTGCTGGAGCCACCCGGCAGGGACGCTGTGCAAGGACGGCGCCCCACCACGTCTCCAGGAAACTCTGCATTTCTCTGAAGCCTCTTTCAGCTCCATAAAAGGCTGCGTGGAGTCTCCGGAGGCCTCTCTCCTCTGAGGAGCACCAGCCAGAGAACGCCTCCCTGTCTGCTGCAGGACCACCCCACCCTTCAGACCTATCCAGGCTGGACGGTGTTCTTGACATCTTCATCTGACCACTGCGGGGACTTGCTTGGAAACGTGGGGGAGGGGTTCATGCCCCAAGCAGGTGGAGTAGGTGGGGGAGCTCTCACACCTAACCCAGAAACCATTCTGGAATACCAGCTGCTGGCTACCTGTGTCAGAGGGAGCGCTGAAATAGGCTAGGGGGGCTCTGCCCTCATGGGATGGGGGGAGAAGATGCTATTGCCTCTTTGATGTCCGGGACCTTGTGGGCTAGGTCACCCAGAGTGAGCCCACAAACAGATGTGACAACTGAGTCTTGACCAAAAGTGGGCCACAGCAGAGGTGGGTGGGATGGGGGCACGGGCCCCCATCAGGGTAACCAGGGAAGGAGGTGGTCACAGGGGGGTCAGAGGCAGGGCTGGGGACAGCAGGAGGCAGCACCCTGTGTATGCGTGTGTCTGTCCCTACTGGGTTCTGGGGCCAGGGCCATGCCAGGGAGGGGCCTGGGGGCCATGCCAGCGGAGGTGAGGACTGGGTACTTCTGCTGCCCACGGTGGCCGCCCAAGCTGAGACTGTTGTGAAGTGCTCCCCAGGGCTCAGCTGAGCCCAGCAGACCGGCGGCACCCCTGGCAGGGCCTCAGGCAGCTGAGCTCCTCTGCTGGACACCCCTGCACTCAGCTGCCCAGAACACGTGGTGCAGGCGGGCCGACAGCTCTCCCCGCCCCTGGAGGCGCCTCTGGCAAGTGGCCCAGCCTGGGAGAGGCCGGGAGGGGGCCCCAGCAGCTCAGGCTCCTTAAGGACACAAGAAGGGCTGGAGGTGGGTGGGGAAAGGAGGCGGCCCGGCGGCCAAGGTAAACCCCTTTCGGCATGGAGTGGCCACAAGCTGCCTGGCCTGGAGGATGAGGCCACAGCATCTAGACACAGGCAGGCTGGCTGCGCGGTGGCGCGGCCGTAAGGGCAAATCCCCTTCCATCCAGCGCAAACAAGCCAGCGCCTCTGCTCACCAGAGCTGGAAGAACTCTTCCCAGCGCAGGAGGGGGCCTAGGGACGTCCTCCCGGACAGCACCCAGGTGCAGAGCAAGAAGCCGGCCAGGCCACCTAAGGTGCTGGCTCTCAGGGGGAGGCTGGGGGCTGCCGGGCCTGCCCTACCTGTGGCGCAGAGGGCAACGAAGGTCTGCGCGTGTTTGCGGATGATCTGTTTGTTCTCCTCCGCCTCCGGCATTTTGGAGAGGAAGTGTTCGATGAAATCGTGCGGGGTCATGGCGGCCAGGTTCCACTTGAGCTTGTTCACTAGGAGCAGCTCCATTTGCTGCGAACACAGGGTGAGCGGCTATGAGGGGAGGTGCGGGCCGGCCCGGGGACGCGGGGAAGCCGGCAGCATGGCCCTGGCCCCTGCGTCTCATGCGGTCCGGGGGTGGGGGAGCAGGACTGGCGAACGCTGGGGGGTCCAGGGAGCTGGGGCAACACACGATCCCAGATCAAAACAGAAAAGGCGCCCGCCGCGTGAAAAGGCTCTGCAAGTGGAAACAAAAAGACCTCCCACCACCTGGAACGGGAGGCGCAGCGCGGAGTTCCGGGTGCAGCCGCTGGAGGGCGCGCGCCGCCCACTTTTCGGCCACACCGCGGAGCGCGAACGCGGTGGGAGTCGCAGGCAATCGCGCGCGGGGCGGCTAGGATCCCACCCGCTCCCGGGACAGGGACACCCGGCAGAGGGGCCGCCCTCCCTCGGGACAGACAGATGTATCCGAGGCGGGCCGGCTGCCGCCCCCTGCACCTTGCCGGGCCCAGTGGTCCTGCGGCTCGCGGGGGGCGGGGCGCGGGGGGCGGCGGGGGTCCCGCGGTTACCAGCAGCTCCTCGGGCTGGATGGAGTTGTCGGTGTAGATGCACAGCTTCTCGGCCGTCAGGGGGATGGTCTCCTTCATCTTAGAGGCCACGAACATGCAGGTGGCCCCCAGCAGCTGCAGGCGGCTCTTTTTCACTGGCTCCAGCGACAGGAAGCGGTCCAGGTAGTTCATGGCCAGCGGGAAGACCTCCTCCTCGCACTTCTGCTCCTCGCAGACCTGCGGGGGCACGGGGCCCGTGACCGCCGCCGCCGGGTCGCGCCACCCCCACCCCACGCCCCCGCCCTCGCACGCGCATCGCGCTCGGCAGGACCACCAGTTCTGGAGGGCTGAGGGGTCGGGGCCGGGGGCGGCAGAAGCTTCCTGTGATGCGCCCCCTCTGGCGCGCGTCCCCAGTATCCACCCTCCCCGAAACTGAAAGGGAAAGTCCCCGCAAGGCTGGCATGGTGGGGGCGGGAGCGGGCACAGCTGGGCGGCGGCGCGGGCTGCCGGCCCCGGGGACCCCGGCCAGCTCTGGAGCTCCGTGGCCCCTCTGGCTGGGGATCGACACCCACAGGGGTGCAGGGCCGCGCAAAGGGCCGCGGGGTTGGGCGCCGCGCCTACGAGACACAAAGGTGGCGTCCCAGGCCGCCGCGCCGCATTTCCCCAGACGTCATCTTTTCAAAAAATATTTAAAAATATTAAAAAAATAACTAAGTGCGTAAAAATACCCTGAAAATGACCCTCGGACGGCCCTTTACCCAGGCCGGGGGTCAGGAGTTTGTTACAGGCTCCGGGGGTAGCCCCAGGAATTCAAACTCCGGGGACCCCCTTCCCCCCAAGCGCGGGCGGCGTTTCCCTCTCGCAAGGGCACCACGCCGCACTTTCAAAAATTATTTAAAAATACTTGCGGGCCCCTCAGGCTCCCACCGAAGGTATGAAAATGTGCTCCCAGGCCCCCGGCTCGCTCGGAGAAGGTCCCCCAAGCCGAGATCCCTGCAGACGGGGATCCAGCCCTGGCGTCTTGGGGGCCACGCGACCTTGCAGGTCGGCGTGCTCTCCGGCCCAGGCTGCCCGTGCGGGGCGCCCCGGGACTCGCTGCTTGAACAAAGGCCCCCTCTTCCCCAGCGGGGTCCCCCCAAAACTACCCATGCTGCGTCCCTGCGCCCCTCCCCCGGGCTCCGGGCGGCCGCCGGGCCCCTAGTTGCGGCCCCAGCTCCCGGCGGCCGCTCCCCGCCCCCACCCTGCCCCCAATTATTAATAAACACTTTTGCTGTGCAATAAAAGAGCAAAGATGGCGCATAATACTGGCACGACCGGCCCTTGCATACGTGTCCATGGATATTAATTCAAAAATCAAATCTATGCCCCCTCCCCCCGGAGTTGGAGGCTCTCGGCCGCGGCGGCCGGGAGAGGAGCCGCAGCATGGCCGGGGCGCAGGCGGGGGGCACAAAGCGCACTTAGCCCGCCAGCCCGCACCCTCGGGCCCATTGGGGTGCTCCTGGCACTGGCTTCTCCTGAAGGCACCCCTCCCCGACCCCCTCCTCCCGTCCCAGGAAACGCAATTTCTAGCACCCCCACCCCCACCCCTTCCTCCTTCAGAAAATACCCACAATTTTTATTTTGAAAATACGGATCCCTAGCAACACCCCGGCAAACTTCAAAGGTCTAGCGGGAGAGAAGAGAGGGGAGTGAGGAGCAAAGAAACGTGGGTCTGGGCAACAAGTTGCAGGGAGGTCTTAAGAGAGCCGCCCGAAGCCCCGCACCTCCAGCATCCAGGTGGCCACGATCTTCCGCATGGACGGCAGGACCTCCTTCTGCACACATTTGAAGTAGGACACGGAGGGTGCGCAGGTCTCCTCCGCCTTCAGCATGGCCCGCAGCACCCGGTCGTTGAGGAGGTTGGCATCGGGGTAGGCGCGGCGGATGGCCTCCACTTCGCAGCACAGGAGCTGGTGTTCCATGGCTGGGGCTCTGCCTGGGCAGCTGGGGAGGGCTGTGGGTTCCGGCTGCGTCCGCGCTCGGCTCTCGCTCCTGCTGCCCCGCGCTCCCTCGCGCTCTTCTGCCCCTCGCCGGAGCGCGCGGACTCTGCTGCTCGCGGCTACTGCGCCGACAGCCCTCTGGAGGCTCCAGGACTTTGCAACTTCAACAAAACTCCCCTGTAGTCCGTGTGACGTTACTGTTGTTAAGCAGAGATCAAAGCCGGGCAGAGAATGGGAGCGGGAGGGGGCGGGGGCGGGCGCAGGGGGAGGGGGCGCGGGCGCCAAACGCCGGGAGCAGCGAGGGGCAGAGCCCAAAAGCCATCCCCGAGGCGCCGCGCCTGCCCTGCGGCGGAGTTGCCACCGTAGTCCGGTTTTCATAGAAATGCAAATAGCCCCGCTGCAGCCTTTCTCCCCGCCAGAAAAGAGGGGTGCAGGGGGCCCGGTCCGACTCGAATGGGTCCCCCGGGATTTGGGGGTGGGGTGGAGGTGGCTCTGCAGTAGGGGACTACTGGGAAGCCCGACAGGCCACACGCAGCCTAGGGAGACCACGAGGAGGGGGGACTCTGGGGCGCGGCGACACCCCATATCCAAGCCGGCAGAACAGGCGCATGTCCAAGAACGCCACGAGGGCACCCACGAGCGGACAGACGGCCAAATAATCTCAGCGTCTGCATCTTCTTTCATTTTCATTAACACGTGTAAATTTCAAGAACTATTTAGCATGCAGGGACCGAGGACGGCACACCACCCAGTGCACTTTTCATTTCGGCGCACATGGGGGTTGTTGCAAATGCCCAAGGGGGTAACCCTAAACATTTAAGGGATTTCAGCTTAGCACGCGCTCGCTCAAAAAATAAAATAAAATAAATGCCCGAAAATTCCAGCCGCAGCCCAAGATGGTGGCCAGCATTTCCTTCATCTTGTCCTTCTAGCCTGGAGACTCTTCGGGCTGTCTTCCTACCTTGACCAGTCCATCCTCGCGGGGGTCCCCAAACGCACCCCCTCCCTTCCGGTGCCGACAATTTAATCGGGCCAAACACACCTCTGAAAGGAAAGCCGAGAAACAGTGATCTCCGTCCTGACTCATTTTTTAATTAAAAAAGGAATTAAATTGCTGGAAATATTAGTCGCCTCTGCCTGGGACAAGACCGCCGGAAGGCTCCTAATTGGTTTTGTTAGGGGTGTAGACGTCCCGTCACCTTTATAATTTGCCCTGGGTCTGCATTGGTGAGCGTGAGGGGGCTGGCAAGGGCGGGCATAATACAGGACAATTATCAATTAAACAAATGAGTGTACTGATCTGATTTTTAACAAAATCGATAGGCGTTCGTGGTTATATGAGAGGGTCCCCAATATTATCACAAACTTAAGCAAATGTGAATTAAAATACATAGTGTTTTTTTTTTTTTTTAATTACAGGTTTTGCCTCTTTGGTGCATTACAAAAATAAAAGGATATTTTACTGTCTCAACTTTTTTGTTTTGTTTACAACATCTGCCCCTAATTAAGAAAACTTCATTAACTTCCTTCTGAATATAGTTTAGTGTCATCAAACCACCGTATCCTCTTAACAGTGAAAGCTCAAAGAAAACGGAGAGAAAAAGTCCCCTCCTCTTAGCCAGGGTGCTCACAGCAAGATGCGACCCCCTTCCCACCCCTACCTTTCAGGGCGAATTCCTCCTGCGCCCCCTCCCCCGCCGGGAACTAGGATTACTAATATTCCGGGTTCTGGGGGGTAATTACCCCTAGATTGCGCATGGGGAGCGGTAGGTGGCCCCAGCAGGCAGCACCCACCGACGTGCCTCCCCACTCCCCGGGCACCCACAATCGCTTCTGCCCAGGTATAGCCAAGCCTCAGAGCATCCGCCCGCGCACGAGGGCGGCCCAGCTGCTTTTTCATTCATAAAATCCGGACCCGGCGGCCGTCTGGATGATTTATGGGGCCCCGAGCTATCACCCGGCCTCTCCCATCCCGGGGGGCTAGGGGCCCCGAGCCCCGCGTGCGCCCTGGCCCAGCCGGAGGCGCGAAGCGGCTGGAGTCGGGTAGGGGCAGCAGGGCATAAAGAGGCTCGCCCACTCCGGCAAAACCGGCTCTGGGTCCTGGAGGGAACTTCACCCCCCATCCCGGGCGCAAAACAGAGGAAACTGGAATTAGCATGAGCCAATGGGGGCGCGGCGCTGTTACTAGGCGGACCGGGCAGATCTCGACGAGGAACTTCGTTGATTTCCCGGCTCAGGGATGGGCGCAAAATTGCAAGCCCGGCTAGCGAGCGTAAAGAGCCGTCCAGGAACCCGCGGGGGAGGCGCTGGAATTTGGGGCCCGGAGGGGCGCGCCAGCTGCCCAGCCCCCAGGGAGCCCTGCTCAGGGCCCCTAGGTCTTCCGAGGGGGCCAACAGCTCTGGGCTTTTGAAGGCCATTGCTTCAAGAAGCGCAGAGAAAGCATTTTGATTTTTTTTCCAAAGAGAAAAGCAACTTTAAAAAACTTTTCTGTTGCAGCTTTACTTTACACTGTCTTTTTAAAACCCACCACGAAGCAGGAATTGCGGGTTCTGGGCTCATTTAAAGTGCTCTGTTCTTATTTCTCGGTGACCATTTGGAGACAAAGGGCAAGTGGCCCAGTCGGGAGGGTAACCACGTTGGTTTGAAAGAAAATCCAAAAGTAACTTAAATCACCTTCCCATTTTCCTCGCCCCTTGGCCCCCGCCCCGGTGCCCGCGGCCCGGGCGGATGGTCTGCCCGGAGAGGGCGAATTCCGCTGCAGGCGCGTGTTCGCCACCGTCCCTGGCTGTGGGAACCTTCATTCAAGCGGGGGAAGGGAGCGCGTTCATTCAGGAACCGGCGCGCCGCGGCGCAGACCCCGGGACTCAGCGCGACTGCGCGCCGCGTGGCTGGGGGCTTGGGTTGGGGGCGGGTGGTCGCTGCCCAGCGCCGACCCTTCGCCGGCGACCTCCGGCACCCGCCTTTCTACTGTGGGACCAGGGCGGCTGGCCGGCGGGCGGGCGCACCCAGGTGGGGTCACCTGCAGCCGCATACCTGGCGGCGACTTGAAAGGACTTGGCTCCCGCTCTGCGAGTTTTCCATTGTTAAGCCCTTAAGTCGCCCGGGAAAACGCTTCCGAAAGCCGGCCCCTGGATTCCGAGGGCGCTCAAGCTCCCCTTCCCCCCACACGACTCGTTTTTGGGGTGCGTGTGGCGGCCCACGTGCTTCGGCAGCTCTGCTTGGGTTACGTAGCGCCGATCCCGAGCGCCCCAAAACCGCGAGCAGGGCGGGGGCGAACTCCGGCCCCAGTGCCCACCCGGGACAGCCACACACTCGGCACATGGACAGCCGCACCCTCTATCGCCCCAACCGCAGACGTGCCTTTCTGCTCCTGATCAATTAGTTTCAGTCACACACAGACCACCCCTTCCTCCAGCGCCCCAGTCGTTTGTCCCGCGGGCCGCGGGGAAACGAGACCCCTCCCCCAGCTCCGAAGGCTGCGGGCGCGGTGGGCGCGGGAGTTAAACCCAACAGGTAGGGGGCGGCCCTGGCTCCAGCGACCCAACTGGGATCCCGAGGCTAAAGGCGATTCTAATTCCTTGACTCCCGCCCCTTAAGCCGATTCGCCCGGTACCCTGAGCAGTATGAACCCCCAAATCCACTAGGGATTTCCTGGCCTTCCAGCTGGCCCCGGCCCCTCTCAGACCAAGTGGTGGGGAATAGGCGCCCAGATCGAGAAGAAAACCACCTCCGACCACGGGAGAGAAAGTGAGCTGGGGGTGACCCCGGAGGTCACGTCCCGCCCTGCTCTCCCGCAGTCAGGCCTGGCCGCGGCCCACTCGAGGCTGAGCAGACTTCCGCGCCGCACGGAGACGCAGGGCGACGCTGCGGGACTCGGGGGGCCTAGGAAACCTGAGGCGGCGGCTCGCGGGAGCCAGTTTTCCGGGCGGGGGATCCGCGCCGAGGACCCCGGGGGCTCCCACGGCATACCCCACTCCGGAACTTGCCACGCCCTTCCCCACCCTTTCCGGAAGACTGCGGGGAGGACCCCGCATGCCCGCGCCTCTCCAGTGTGCGCCTTAATGACCTTGGAACGCTCGAAAGCGCTTCCATCCCTCGCCTTGGCACTTGGGGGTGGATGGAGGGACAGGGCCGTCATTGCGGGGCGCCTCGGAGTTCTGGTTCTTGGGACACTCACCCAGCAGGGGACTGAAAGGGAGGGTTTTTTTTGTTGTTTTGTTTTTGCCGGGGACAGGTTGCCTACCTAACGCCCCGCGCCCTTCCCCTGGGGTCCCTGGAGCCCGTGCTTTAAGGGCCAGGGGCAGGACTCGGATTCGGACCCCTTTGGGAATTCTGGGTTCACAGGGTCTGAGAGACTGATGGGCCGTGCTCGGTCTCCAGGCCACTCCCGAGTGTTCACGCGGGGCACGACTTGCTCAGCGAGTCCTGGGTGGCAGGGCCAGGGCCGGGGTGCGGCCAGGAGAGGTAAAGGGGAGGCGAGAGCGCGCGCCGCCGGACCCTGGGCCGAGGCTCGGGAGCCGCGCGAGGCCGCGCCGCGCATTCCGCGCATTCCCGCCGGGCCTCGGTTCCACCGCCACGTGGTTGCACGGCGTCCGCTTGTACCGTAAGGCTTAGAAAAGGCGCGCACTGCGGTTCCCGAGCGCATGCGGACCTCCCAGGACGCTGAACGCTAGCGCCGGTACCATGGTGGTGCCGAACTGACTCCTTCCGTGCTGGTAGAGGAGGGCTGCTTTTTTACGTAATAAGGAGGGTTGTACTGCTGGAGCGATAGCGTGTTCATCTGTAAAGACCGGCAGGAAGGAGGGTGCTCGGCCCTACTGGAATCTGTAATAGGGAGATCATCCATCTGTAATAGGGCGACTGTCCGGTTGAGGAATGTGACAGAACCGGGCCGTGACTATTCCACCTTCTCAGCCGCTGGTAAAGCAGCGAAGAGCAGCTGCAGCTTTCTGATGGTGTCCAGTGCACTGTGGTTGGAAAGCACAGAGCAAGAAGGTGCTTAACAAATGCGAAAACGTCCAGAAACTCCTATAGCTACTTTTTTTTTTAAGTCCTGAAGGGTGGCTTTTTTTTTTTTTTTTTTTTTCCTGAGGGTCAGTTTAAGATAAAGAATCTAGTGCATCCCTGGACCCTGTGAGCCTGACCTTAACCCACAGGATGCCCGCCTGGGCTCACGAGGTTCAGGGGTGCATGACTGGGGCCCC